CGCGGGTCCCTGCGTGGCGGGAGGGAGGCGGCCGCTGGGCAGCCCGTCGGCCAGCAGAGGGCGACGTGGCGTGCGAGGCCACAGGCTGCTGCCGGTCCAGGCGCGGAGCAGATCTGGGCTTGAACTTGTCTGAGGGCAAAAGTGGGAGGAGGGGCTGAGGCGCGGACGCTGGGATCCTCTCCTCCCCCAAACCCTCCGGTTCCTTGGGATCTCTGCGACGGACCACTGCAGAGGCATCGGGCTGGGGTGACTGGGTAGCTCAGGATGCAACAATGTTTTATTGAGGACCTACTATGTGCTGGGCACGTGCTAAGCGCCCCCACAAATAATATCTCCAAAGTAAGAGAAGTGTAATTTCAACCCTACAACAACTTTCCTTCACTCAGACAGAAGCATCTGCAGACTGCTCTCAGCACAGCCTCCTCCTTCACTCCCTGGCCTCTGTCCCCACCCCACTCCCCCAACCTGGCCCTGTCAGACCTTCTCTTAGGGACTTTTCAGTCTTTGTGGAGTGGCTGCCTTCAGTTTCTGGCTGCGGAATCCCAGGAGTTTGCCCCCAAATCCAGTAGAGACAAAACCCTTCGGGAGGGAGGTGATTTGGTGGGTTGCTGTGACCAGAGGACATGCAAACTCTGCCCCACGACCTGGGAATCCAGCCCCTTCATTTAGCTTTCAGTTTTACCCAGTTTCACTTCCTGGTTCTCCTCCAGGTCTTGCACAATGCTGGGAGACGGGCCTGGGAAAGTGCCACAGTGGGGATGGGGGAAGCCGGCCTGGGGAGGCTGTGCTGTGTCACTGACGGCAGGAGGGGTGTGGGCCTGTGCTTCCTCACCGTCCTGCCCCAGGGCTGAGGGCTGCTGGGCTAGATCTTCCCAAGGGTGGGGCTGTCCTTGACCTTAACCTGAGCCCTCATATCCCCTCCCCTCCATACTCAAGTACTACCTTCAGCCCACCTCCCTCCAGCCAGGGTCCAGAGTAACATACACCCTTGACATTTCCAAATGCTAAACTTCCCGTGTCTCTAGAGCCGCTGGGTTCTCCTGAGACACACACTCTCCAGGGCCTGGTTAAGGGTGTGGGTCTGGGTCCTGGGCCAGTGGGAAAGCAGAAACCTGGGAGCCGGAGACTTCTTGGACGGAGCCAAATTTCTTTTGAGCCTTGGGGGCTGTAGAGGAAGCTGTCCCTCAGTTCTGAGGCAGAGAAGGCTAACCACAGAGGGGGTGAGAGGCTGGATTATTGGTCAGAAGGTTCAGGGGTTGTCAGAGCCCAAGGGTGGGTTTAAGGCAAGAACTGGAACTTGTAGAATTAGACTAGGAGGTGCTTCATATGCTCCTGGACTTAGACCAAGTCATTTCCAAATCGCTATCTTGAGGTCAATTGCCAGGGGCTGGGGGCATTAGGGGCAGATGAGACTGATGAATTTAGCCCTGACACAGGCTGAAATTTCAGAGAGAATTAGAGCTGAAAGAGGCTCAAAGGACATCAGGACCAAATCTTCCAATGAGGTAGATGAAGAAACAGAGGTCCTGAGACAGTGAAGGCCCTGCTCTTGTCACAGGAAACAAGCATCCGGGATCAGACCTGGGTCTCCTGACTCCTTCCCCACATTCTGCTTGACCTTGACATTCTGTTATTCCAACGTCCTTGGCCTTACCCATTTGACCCGCCACCTCTCCCCTGGCCTGTGATCCTGCCACACCCTCAGCAGGACCCATTGGGCTTTCATGCCCAAAATAAGTCAGCAAGGATGGTGGGAGTAGGGGGAGAGGAACCAGCTCTCCCAGACAGCTGGCATTCAGCTAGCTGGGATCTCTTCAGGGAGACAGAAAGCCGAAGCCGTCAAGGAGCTGAGATACAAGCCCATGAAAGGAAACTGATGGACCCTGGTTCTTTGGAGCTTGTGCCAGAGGCAGAGGCCTGGCGGGGCAGAGTGTCTGCTGAGGACCAGACGGGGCCCTGTGCCACCCTGGCAGATCTGGTGGGGCAGTGAGGTTGACGAAGGGCAGGGGGTAGAGTGCAGGCCCAGGCTCTGAGCCCAGGACAGGGATTCCCTGGCTTGGCACCCTGACTCTGGAGCCTCTCTGGCGTCTTGTCTTGGGGGTGGTAGGGGGTGCACCCTGTGGGTCATGGGGGTGGGGAGAGCCAGGCGTCAGGGAGCCTGCCGCTTTGAGCAGGTCAGATGGCGGAGGATCAGATTTCAGCCCAGCTGTATTTTTGGCTGGATGGGCAGGGGGCCGAGTCCCTCAGGCGCAGCTGCCCCAAAGAGGGGCACCCCGTCCACAGTACACACACTCACACCACCTCGACCCAGACAGGCTGCCACTCACTGCCCCACCCCTCTGCAGGCACAGGGGAGTCAGGCGCCGCTGGGCTAGTGAACCACTTTGGGCTTCTCTGGACTGTTGCTGATTTTCTGTAGCGTCTTCTTGATCCGTAGTGCGGTGAGTCGGGCAGAGGGATTGGGGTACCAGCACTCCCGCATCATCTGAGCCAGGCCTGAGAGGACCTAGGGGTTGGGAAAGAGGGGCAGGAGAGAGGAGGCAGAGATGCAGGTCAGAGAAGAGGGAGAGGGCAGCCCTTCAGGACCCCTCCCACTGCTGGGACCTTTCCTGTCTTTTTAATAAAATTCTTACTTTCTCACCAAAAAAAAAAAAAGAAGAGAGAGAAAGAAGAGGGAGAGGATGGCCCAGTCCTGGGGGGATACAAGCAGGAGGAAAAGGACAAGAAGAGGGAGACAGAGCGTTGCAAAGAGGGCGAAAGGAAAGACAGAAGTGAGACAGGGCGGAGGGTACCAGGCCGGGAAGAGCAGAGAAAGATACAAAATGGAAGAGGAAGTGAGTACAGTGAGAAAGGGCATGGAGAAAGGCAGACGAGAGAAAGGGAGAGAGAACTCAGACCTTCAGAGCTGGCAGACCCTCCTTGGTGATACCTTACCCCAACCCCTTCTGCTAAGATCCCCGAGAAGGGGCGGATCTGCAAGCAGTGGGGTTCCATATCCCCATCCACAGCCTGAAACCCCAGTGTCTCCCAGCCCCTCCACCAGCCACGGCTGGGTGCAGTGGAAGTATGGGTGGTAGGAACCGTCTTAAACATGCACATGTCCAGGGAGGAACTATCCCAGGAAGCTCAGTAGTCTGGAATGAGCCAGCCCCACCCGGGCTCCTAGAAGTGAGTGTGTGTGTGTGTGTGTGTGTGTGTGTGTGTGTGTGTGCACATACACATGCATAGGAATGCCAAAATGTGGCTTTTTGTGGATATGTACGTTGTACAAAAATCCACCTGTGTCTATGTATGCATAGATGAATATACATGTCTACATTTATTCATTCTTTTATTTTATTTTTTTGAGTTGGAGGCTCACTTAGTCACCCAGGCTAGAGGGCAGTGGCACACTCACGGCCACCCCAGCATTGACCTTCCGCCTCAGCCTTCCAAGTAGCTGGAACTACAGGCACGAGCTACCATGTCTGGTTAATTTTTTATTTTATTGTAGAGACGAGGTCTTGCCAAGTTGCTTGGCTGGTCTTGAACCCATGGGCTCAGGCAATACACTCGTCTCAGCCTCCTAAAGTGCTGGGATTACAGACTGAGCCACTGAGCCTGGCTATTCATTCTTTTGATAAACATTTACTGAGCTCCAATATGTGCCCAGCACTATGGTAGGTACCAGGAAGCAAAAGATATGCTCTTTGTCCTCATAGGGCCAATAGTCTGGCATATACACGAGTATCTGTAACTGTATGTTTCGAAGCATATGCATGTCTGTACATGTTTATATACATGTGTGTGTCTTCATATAAGTATGTTTTGAGAAAAAACAAAGAAATGTAGCAGAGAGCCTCTGACTTTTCACACACAAGGGGAAGGGCTCTGAAAATCCCAGGAAGGCTGGGGTGTACAGGTGGGTTGGTCAGGTGTGACAGAGGAGACCCAGGGAGGTGCCACCCGAGGTGCAGCAGAAGACTTAGACACAAGCTCCTGGGCCCAGAACCCCCTTGCTGTGAGCCATCACTCCAGCCCCAGCAGAGGCCTTACCGGGTCTGCTGCCAGCCGGTTAGGAATGGTGGGGGTCTGTTGATCCGTACACACCACCTTCTTCATGTCCTCAAAGCTGGGGTCGTTGGGCACCACATCATAGAAGGGTGGCCGGTAGTCCTCCACGATGCCTGGAGAGGGAGGGGGACGGGACAATCACTCAGGACTTTTGAGGCCCAATACCACCAAGAGGAGAGAGAGCCTTGCCCACCCTCTGTCCTAAGGGCCAGAAAACCAGTTGCCTGGCCATGCTGCTCCCGAGAGGGACACAATAAGATGAGGAATGCATTTCTAACAAATATTAATCACTGCCATGTGTTTGGCACTTTCCATTTGCCAGGGATTGTGCTGTAAACACTGTATCCTGTTAGTCTTCATGACAGCCCTGTGAGGTGGCTACCGCTATTACCTCCATTTCACAGATGAAGAAACTGATGCTCTGGGAAGCTGAGCCCAAGACTCCACGGCTAGTAATGGCAGAGTCAAGACTAAAACCCATCTGGGATTCCCAGACTAGTCTTATTCCAGTCTTTCCCCAGCTGCCTTCCACACAGGGCCCGGGTGCTGCTCCCAGGTCCCAACTATCACACATGTCCCATAATAATAACATCAAGTGTTTACTAAGCACTTATAATGTGCCAGGCTCTGTCCTCAGTGCTCTGTATTAAATCCTCACGACAACCCTATGAGGTAAGTAATACTATTAGCTCTGTTTTATAAGCCAAGAAATCAAGGCCGGACAGTTTAAGAAACTTGTCTAAGATTGACAGGAAGTAAGCGACAGAGCTAGGATTTAAGCCCAGAAAGTTTAATACAAAGCCTGTGCTCATGCCCTCCAACATACACTTTTTTTTTTTTTTTTTTTAGTTGGAGTCACTCTGTCACCCAGACTGCAGTGCAGTGGCATGCTCCCGGCCACCGCAGCCTCTACCTGCTGGGCTCAAGTGATCCTTCTGCCTCAGTCTTCCAAGTAGCCGGAACTACAGGCAACGCTACCACACCCAGCTAGTTTTTGATTTATTGTAGAGATGAGGTCTCGCCAAGTTGCCCGGGTGGGTTTCAAACCCGCGGGCTCAGGCAATCCACTCACCTCAGCCTCCTAAAGCACTGGGATTACAGGCTGAGCCACCGAGCCTGGCCCCAACTTACACTTAGGGAAGGGAAGCTGGTTGACGGCTGGCAGAGGACAGAACAAGGACAGGAAGGGGCAGAAAACACCTTTCCTAAGAGAAAAGGATTTTCATCCTGGCCCCAGTGCCCACCCACCCACCATCAGGGATGGCACAGACCACCGTGGCGAGCAGCGCCCCCTCCCCAAGTTATCCCGAGTGTACAGCCCTTAGTAGGAGCTTTCTAAAAACAGTACCTGTGGAGCTGCAGACAGCCCCGTGCCCTATCCTGCTTCCCGGCGAGGCTGGGGGCTGTGGCCACACAGGCCGCAACCTCCACAGAGACTTCGCCAGCTGTTCTCCCAGTGGCGGGCTTCCAGGCCGGCCCCTGTGCCGCTTGCGCCCTAATCAGTGCAACACAGAGGCCTGAGTGTGTCTAATGGGCCTTTAATCAGTGCCGGGGCTGACACCAGATTACAGTGTTTATAATGTGCTGTGAATCTGTATGGGGCTGATGAAGCCTCCCGGTCCGCCCCAGGCAGCCTCCCTCCCAGCCCTTCCTTTCTGGCCTGCAGCCTGGTCCAAGAGGCCTTGGCTTCTTCCAGGTGTCCTCATTCCCCGACGCCAGGCTCCTAGAGCCCACTCTAGCAGTTCATGTCTCGAGGAATCAGCCCCTTGGGAGTCTCTCTGAGGGATGGAGGACACCTTGGCCTTCATTGTCACTCAGTGACCACTGAGGACAAATGAAGTCTGGCATGGAACTGGCTTCTCATAGATGCTCAGGAGATGAGAACATCCTTGTCCCCAAGGTGCAGGGCTCCAGTCATATCCTGAGGATTGTCCCCAACCTGTTAGGACTCCTAGAAGCCCCTCACCACGGACAGCCCCACAAAGGCTGACAATCCTCCCACCAGGCTAGATGACCACCCATTCTCCATCTATCCTAGGGCTGAGAGGGCAGTGACCACTGAGTGGGCCGAGGCACATCCCTCTACCTGCTCCAGCCCTTCCAAATCAGAGTCCCCTGTAGTGACACATTAATAATGGGGCAGCAGGCCAGGCTCAGTGACTCAGCCTGTAATTCCAGCACTTTGGGAGGCCGAGGCGAGTGGATTGCCTGAGCCCACGGGTCCGAGACCCACCCGGGCAACTTGGCAAGACCTCATCTCTACAATAAATAAAAATTAGCCGGGCACAGTAGCGCGCACCTGTAGTTCCAGCTACTTGGAAGGATCACCAGAGCTCAGCAGGTCGAGGCTGCGGTGGCCATGAGTGTGCCACTGCACTCCAGTCTGGACGACAGAGTGAGACTCCAGCTCAAAAAATATATATAACAAAATAATGGGGCAGCAATAAGTAGGCAGTGCAGGCACTGGCGTATACTGTATTTTGTGAATAAGGAAATCAAGGATCAGAAAGGTTTAAGTGAGCATGGTGATACAGAGCACTGGTCACAGACTCAGATTGCCTGGAGTTCCTACCCTGATGCTGCCTCTCACCAGCTTAATTCTGTGCCTGTCTCCTCATCCGTAAAATGGGAAAAATACTATGTCAGGCACTCAATCTATTACAGTAATAATGGCCACGCATATTTAGCTCTAGATATTGTTGTAAATCCTTCACTTGGATTTCATCTCAACAACTAGAAACTATTTTATTCTCATTTTACAGATGAGGAAACTGACGCACAGAGAGGTTAAGTAACCTGCCCATGGTCAGGGGGAAAAATCAGGAATAGGACCCAGGTGATCTGAATCTAAGCGTGTTCTCTTTACCACTAAGCAATACCACTGCCCTGCCAATAAAGAATCATTAAATGAGATAATAGATGTAAGGCATGTAGCATGATGTCTGGAACAATAAATCTTATATAAATTAATCTTTTTTTTTTTTTTTTTGAGTTGGAGTCTCACTCTGTCGCCCAGACTGGAGTGCAATGGCCGCTCCCAGCCACCGCAGCCTTGACCTGCCGGCGATCCTTCCACCTCAGCCTTCCAAGTAGCTGGAACGACAGGCGCGCACTACCACGCCCGGCTAATTTTTTGGTTTATTGTAGAGATGAGGTCTCGCCAAGTTGCCCAGGCGGGTCTCGAACCCGCAGGCTTCAAGCAATCCACTCACCTCAGCCTCCCAAAGACACGGGATTACAGGCTGAGCCACCAACCCCAGCTATTCTTATATAAATCTTAATTAATATTTCTGTTATTATCACTTACCCATGATTTCACAGCCAGACTCACAGACTCAGGTGAACCTTAAAAGGTCATTTAACTGAACCAGCTGGGGGTGGCATTGAAGGGAAGCCAGGAGGCCTGGCCACCAGCCCCTTAGGCCATGGGTACCAGCCCACCAGCCATGGCAGGAAGCCCCCTCCTCCACCTGCCCCTTCCCACGCCCCGTGGCCCTCACCATTGACCACAGTCCGGCGGGCGATCTCCCACAGCACCAGGCCAAAGGCCCAGATGTCAGTCCACTTGTAGGACTCAAAGCAGTCAGTGCGAATCTGCTCGTCCAGCACCTCGGGTGCCATGTACCGCTTGGTGCCCACTCTTGGGTTGTTGCCGATGTCCAGGTAATCGCTGCCCTGGGAGTGCATCACGGCCAGGCCTGTGGATACAAGGCCTGTCACTCTTGTCCTCACCCGAGTCCATAGACAGGGCAGCCCCAAGGCTGGGGTGTGGGAGCAGGAAAGGTGGGGATGAGGAGAAACAGTGGCAGGTGAATGGAGACCTGCCCTGAGATGAGTTGGAAGACAGTGGCCGCTGAGAAAATGACCATCTCATGTACCTATTGCTTGTGCAGTGCTCCCTGGGCTCTCGAGAGCTCAGCGAGATGTGAGCAGGCAAGGCAGGCATTATCCTGCCCGTTTCCCAAGCAGACCCAGAGGTCGGTGAGGAGGAGAGGTGGAGTCAGTGAAGTCAGGATGGCAATCCTGGTTCCTGATTCCTGCCCCATTTCTCCCAACACCTGGAGCCAGGCTGATGTGATGGAAGGAGTTTGGGCTTGAAGAGAGTGTCCAGACAATATGTGGGGCCTGGTGCCAAGGCTTACACCTGTAAACCCAACACTTTGGGAAACTGAGGCGGGAGGTTCACTTGAGGCCAGGAGTTGGAGATCAGCTTTGGCAACAAAGCAAACCCTGTCTCTACAAAACTTTAAAAAGTATCGGGGCATGGTGGCACGTGCCAGTAGTCCCAACTACTAGGGAGGCTGAAGCAGGAAGATGGCTAGAGCCCAGGTGTTTGAGGCTACAGTGAGCTAAGAACGCGCCACTGCACTCCAGCTTGGGCAACGCAGCGAGATCCTCTTAAAGATTCTTTCAAGTTGTCTCTTAAAAAAAAAAGAGACGGAGTACCTGCATGATCAATGTCTGTATACCTAACGCTGAATTGTCCCCAACATCTTCATTTTAAAAAAATTTTAAAAAGAGACAACTTGCCGGGCTCGGTGGCTCAGCCTGTAATCCCGCGCCTTTGGGAGGCTAAGGTGAGTGGATTGCCTGAACCCGCGGG